GTCTTTCTATGATGCTAAGGGAGGCTACTGGGGCGTATAATGACGTTTATATAGGAGGCAAACCCAAAATTTAGGGTTTTCTTTAAACAGATCGGACTAGCCGAGTCGGACGTCGACTCGCCGAGTCGGTCCCGTTCCGCGTTTCATGATCTCACGACCCTACTCGACGAGTTGACCTCCCAACTCGCCGAGTCCATGCATAAATCCTTTCCAACTTAAACCAGGTGTTATAGTTGATTGAGCCTCCCTAATGATACCACCAATGACATTTTTCATTCTTAATGCAAGAATTTTAGTGATTATTTTATACAAACACCCGATGAGACTTATAGGCCTTTAGTCGTTGAGGGATAACGGATCTTTGTTTTTTGGAGCGAGTGTAGTGAACGATGAGTTACAACCACGGGAAAGAGTACCATACACCTCGAAGTATCGAACAAACTTGTCACATTTAATTATGGTAATATTTGTCATTAATTAATTTTTCTTATATATACCCTTAGGGCACATTCGCACATGTTAGAAAATCTCTTTTAAAACAAATGAGACTATTTTTTGAAAATGACATTTTGAAGCTAATAAAATTCTTATTAATAAAATTCTTATTTGTTAGCTAAACATTTTAAAAAAAATATTGACTCTTTGAAAAGTCAATAAATCAATAAGCTAATTTATACTTTGAAGGGCAAAATGATATTTTGCCCAAAAGTGTATGAGTATTAAGACAAGACTCTAATAGGAAGGAAAGTTAAATATGAAACCTTAATTTCTAATTTTTAATGAATTTGTAGTGGTTTAGAGAAGTTTTGGTTCCACTTAGTTCGTTGTGTGGACATATCTTATCAGCTAGTTTTCATAAACTCTCTTTGTAACGTCCCAAAATTTACCAAGTAAAAATTTCATTTAAAAAAAACAATAGAAACATCATTTGTTCATTTCAAAGATCCATCCAAATGTGATTATGTATAAAGTAGTTATCAAAGTACAAATCATGTCATAAAATGCAGATGTTGGTGGATGCGGTGTGATCACGTCGGACCCTTCCATTTCGAATCGGAAGTACCTGAAACCATAAACATAAAACTGTAATCACAGAGCTTAGTGAGTTCCCTCAAAATACCCCATACCATACATACATAACAGTTCAAAACTAAACTGGGTCTATTTCACCCCCTTCGGTCTCTTTCAACCTGTACTGGGTCTATTTCACCCCCCTTCGGTCTCTTTCAACCGGTATTGGGTCTATTTCACCCCCTTCGATCTCTTTCAACTATTTCACCCTACAACTAAGTATAAAATCATATTAGCAAGAGTCACAAAGACAACAAGCACATACAGGAATAACAGTAAGTGTCACAATGACAACTATCATCCTACAAACATAAGTCAGTGGGCCGATATTGTTACCTTCAACCCACGAGTACAGTGAAGAGAATCACCTCACAAACAATGATTAACTGCAACTTCTCCTACTGCATCAAATACTTATGCTACAAACCGCCTATACATCCATATAAAGTACACCCTTAGCTTTTCTTCCAAGACTAGGGGTTTCACCAAAATTCATTGCAAGTCAAAAGTCAAAGTCAACCGTTAAAGTTGACTCGCCACGTCGTGGTCATCCTTGGCCACGTCGTGGCCCACGGGTCAAAACCTAATCTAGACCCAAGTCAAAGAAGTCAACATGCCACAGTCCTCCATGTCATGGCCTTCCTTGGCCACAACATGGGCACAAGATGACAAAACAGTTGATCTGACCCCAGTCGCCACGGCGTGGTGACCTGATGTCACGTCGTGGGAATTGGGTTCCAAACAGCTTAATGGATTAAGCTGTTTTCTTCAGCCCCCACGAGCTTCAAAGCCCAAATATAATCCAAAACTTGGTCTAAAAGGATGAAGTTTCTAACTTTATCCATTAAGTCAACCCAAAAAGACAAAATCTCAAACCCTAAGTTCCATAAGGCTAAAAATGGCAAAAAACTCAACCATTAAGCACTTAATCCCGAAAGTCCTTAGACCAACTTCTCCAGAATGCTCTTAGGACCCCTAATGGTCCATAAAAATCCAAACTTTATGGACATACATGACTCATGCATGTCCTTCTTCAAACTATGTCAAAAAAGGGAACAATAAGACCTAAAATCCATGCAAGGTTCACATCTTACCACCAAATTCTAGATCTATAAGACATAACATTCAAGGAACATAGAGAAATCATAAAGTTGAAAACTTTATCTCTTATAACCACTCAAACCACTCCAAAAGACCAAAACATACTCCAAAACCTAGATCTAAGAAGAAGAACACAAAAAGGTTGAAGCTTGAGGACTTAAAAGGAGTCCAGAAGATGGACACAAATGGAGGAAGGGATCACTTGTTGAACCAAAGCACTAATTCTTCTTCTTCCTTCAAAACCGCCACAAGTTAACTAAAATGAGCACAAAAACACAAAAAGCACTAAGGAGGATTAGGGTTAGGATTTATAGGGGGTTTGAGAGTGATGGAGGCTGAGAATGAACAACCCTAGCCTCCCACTTTCCTTTAAATTCCCGGAAAATTAGGTTTTAAGGCATCGGTAGCAGCCACACCGTGACCTTTACTTGCCACATCGTGGCGAGTCAAAAGAGACTCGCGGCCAAAAATGCCTCGTAACGCCGTGGCGATCCTCCCTACGTCGTGGCGACTCCCAAAATCAAATTTTAATTAAAATAAAATATACCTCAAAAACCAGATGTTACACTAGTATTATATGGATTATGTGATATTAGGATGTTAAATCATGAAAAGCCTCTCGGACGAAAGTGGTCGGAGACTTGTCAACTAGAGAAAAACCTCTCGGATGGAATCTAGTTGAATCAGTAAATAGAATGATATGATATTAGGATGTTAGGCGACAAAAAGCCTCTCAGTGGAAGTGTTCGTAGACTGGACAACTAGAGAAAAGCCTCTCGGGGGAAACCTAGTTGATCCAGTATGTAGATATGTTTATGCTAGCTTATGTTATGTGATTGATGATATGTAATATGTGATTTATTCATGATGCTTATGTGTTATTATATATATTGTATATGATCTATATAATGAGTGAGCGTTGTGATTTCTCATTAAGACCTAGGCTTACAGTTACTACTTAATGTTTTATAGCAGAACCTTCTGCTGTGAAAAAGGGCAAGGAGCCCGCATGATTGCGACATCTAGGCATGGCATCTATTTATCAATTTATTTTGTATTTATCTAATGTGAGATGATTTTCAAAACAATATTTATGCTTCCGCAATTTGATGATATTATGGTTCGATATGATGATGTGACGAGACATGGTTGATTTTAATTAAGTTTATGGAGGTCCATGTTTTATTAAGAAATTATGTAAGACCTATATTCTGATTTTAAAAAAATGGGTTGTATTTTGGGATGTTACAGATACATAAACAATTTACAAATCAAGATAAGCAACTAGGTAAACTCATAATTTCAAATTTTAATCCCCAAAAATCCTTGAATCAAATTATAACAATAAGATCATAACCATATGGTATTTTAGAATGTTACAACTTCATGAATACTTGATTGTCAAGCGGAGACAATGTTTAAGGTTGATGCATACAAAGCAGGAATAAGAGTTGTTATGAAACACCCCTCACATATGGGCTATTTGAAAATGGTTAAATAGAATAGGTTTTCATGTTCAAAAGCATTTAAGTTTAGTAATTTGCAAAAAACATGGTCCCAAACAACGTTAAACATCATATTAAAAAATAGGTGAGGAATTATCCAACTAATAACATCGCATATCGAGGATAAAACCATTTATTAAAATTTCAATAAAATAAATTCACATATTGAGGGATAAAATCACCATATTTCAATCATTTGAAAGCCAACAAATTCCATAATATTATAAGAGTTTCATAAATAAGGAATGAAATGCAAGAATGCAACCACTCCTAACACAAGTCAATATCATAACCCATCTCACTAATGATGACAAAATCCTAGGTTTAATGTATCATGAACTCCATACACTTACTGCCCAATGAGCTCACCGTAGTATAAGCACAAAGCACACATACATCCTCTTACTCATTAAAATAGTAGGTATTGGTGTGTCATTTCACTAGACCATGTATGAGCTAGCTAGATTTCACACACATAAACACACAAATGAGACATTCTAGAATGTAATCACAAACCCTTAGCCAATGTCGGGATCCCTAGTCAAAGTGAACTCTCCGGCTAAGGCCATCCTACATGAATGCACATGTAATTGATGAAAAACTTCATTTCAAACCCTTAACCAATTTTGCTAATTTTTATTTGAAAACAAGTTTATTATTTTCAAAATAGTAGTCCTTAATCCTCATTAATGCGCATAATTTCCATTTAGTAATGACTTAGGGTCAAATACAAGTAAAAACATGTCAAAATACAAAGTACAGATAATTTCCTATCACTTTTACTCCTATTTACTTGGTTAACTATAGTGAAACACCAACTTCCCCAACATATACACTTTGACCCAAATTAAATTTAGGATTTCATTTATATAATCTTATAAACTTTAATTTCTCATCATAAATACTATTTTTTTTTTAGATATTTTACTATTTCAAATTTAAATTTCGAAAAAAAAAATAGGATGTTACATGTTAGACTTCCAACTAATAACACCAAACTTCCTCTTCTTTGCGTTGCTTGTCCTTGAGGTCGACAAAGACACAAAAAGCCCCTTTTCTTTTATGTCGGGTTAGAATTTCTTAAAGCTTTCCTTATCAACAAAAGTGTGGTTTTGTGGTGAGTTTACTTATAAACAGGGACATGTGCTCCATTACACACGAACCACACTAGTCATCATCCCATTCCATCCCATCCTACGGGAATGCACAAATTCATGAAGAAAATCAAGGGCAAAGCATTAAAGTCATCCCCATTTATAAGATAACTCATTTTAGATTATGTTTCAGAAGATACACAAAACATACGCAGATAGAGAGAATGAAAGCCGAGAGATATTATGGAAGAAAATTGAGAATTTGTTCCACATATATACAGGTAGGGTAGTTTTTCTTATGCAAGTATAATTAGTATTCCTCTTTACAGAAGCTGCAGAGAAGGGGATAATTATCATGACAGTGCAGGCTCAAGAAATTTTGATACATTTTGTGATTCTGTCATGACAACTTCATTGGAAAGCTTAAGATCTGAAAGGGCGTTGCTCAATGATTCAGTTGTGTGTTCCCTTCTTATGGTACCATCAGGAGGAGCATGGGATGACTTTCTACTTTCTTCCAACTGGAGTTTATCCAACTCATCTTCAATATCTTCATCAAATTCTGCATAAGACAAAACTGACCCTGGAAACCACACAAACCCATGTTAGAAAAAAGGTATTAAAATCCAGTATCTGTGTCTATTATGCTATGGCCCTTCTTCCTGGCATGTGATTTAATAAACATAGAATTACATGGGACAGAAGCCAAGTAAAATGCACCAGTACCTATGACTTCATCTACTTGCCTCTGTGAATTCATTGCCCCATCAAGTTCATCTAAACATAGTTGAACTTCTTCTATGGTGACCTTGTTATCCTTTATTGCCTTTGTGCCACTTTGAATGGCTTCAAAAACCTGCCCAACCATTTATGGCGTATTTAAGTACATAGCCAACAAGTGGTAGAAACTGTTGTCATATTACCAAACTAGGTGTGAGACCCGTGTACTACACGGGTTTATTAAAAATAAAAATTTAATATCAATATTTAAACATTAAATATTTTATAAAATAACACTTTTACATAACATAATGTAATCTTTTGGAACATTTATAAAAGAAATCAAATATTCTTTAGAGCATTTATAAAACTTTATTATCAAATTAATAGAATGATTCTCTTTCCTTATAAAACTCGTTAGAATTTTGTGGAATTTTATTTTAAAAAATGGAAATTCCCAAAAAATGACAAGTGGAAAATAATAATTCTAAAACTCTCGCAAAATTACATGTGGCAAAACTCTTGAGAATTTGACAAGTGGCAAAAAAAAACCTTCATTTATTAGAGAGGATGTGAGATTTAGTACACCTCTTTTGAATCTTGAGCGTCTGCTATTGCTCTGAGGACTTCCTCTACTCGCATTAAAAGCACATGACATTTTTCTCTGCTTTCAGAGGCCAACTTCAGTTCCCTTGCATGTCTCATTGCACTACTTTTGTTCCCAGATTTTAGAGAAGCCAAAGCTGACATTTTGGAGCTACACAATAACACATGTCAATATCCAGATCCAATATGACCGACTATATGAGCTATAGCCTATGTGATCGGCCTTGAAGAATCAAAATAGTGGATTTCTACAGCAATATGAAAGGAGACCAACTTAACTCTATCATCATCATCATCATTCAGATGGTAGATGGAGTACGTTTTCTTGATCAGTTCATGTAAGACGCAGTTGCATCAAGGAATAACTTTAGCATATTAAACAATGTATGAATATCCTACATGATGCTTACTTGACACAACGTTGATCTATCAAATCAACTTGTAGCTGGAGCTTCTCTGCTGTCCAAGTCAAGTGCAGAACTTCATAATCTGGAGGTATAATACCAGGGACAGTTTTGGGAGAAAGAGAAACTTTCACACCCTGTTGTCCAAAAAGTTTTAGTATAAGTAATCACTGCTTCATGTACAGTTAAAACCAACTGCTATGGAATCAAAATTTACAGCTAACTGTAACACCCCGACCAAATGACAGAGATGTTAAATAAGGGTAGAAAGCATAAAGTATTAAAAATTGCATTTTATCTATTGTTAAATTAATTATTTTTTTCAGTTTTGACCACGATCGACTAATTAATATTGGATTTGTGATTTTTATCACTTAAATTATATTGGAAATTCATGTACACTAAAATACAAATTAAATGAAAAAAAAAAGTTGTGATCTTTATTTTGTGAAATATATATATATATATATATATATATATATATATATATATATATAGACACACACACAAGTAGGTTCATGTGAAAACATAAATATTTTGCGAAAATGCGAAAACAGAATTTATCTTATAAAAATCAAACACATGTACTTTAGAAATTAAACTTATTTGCAATAAATTAAAGATAATAAGTTTACATTGGAGGGTGTTATGGTAATATAGATTTAAAGGTGGCTTTAACATGTATTCTGCACACTATGTATACTGCAAAGTAAATCGAAGGACAAATGGTTTGATTTTCGGTTAGTTTTGTCTGTTGTCACGAGTCCAAACCGAAACCCTCAATGTGAATATAAAGCTCAAAACTTGATAAAATCCAATGATTCTTGTACTGAAATGGATACTAAAATTCGAATACGGACCCTGACAAATGTTTTAAGAAAAAGGAACTAACAATTCGAAAAAAAAATTAACTGACAAATGTTTTAAGAAAAAGGAAGCAGGAGATTGCTTGTTCACAAAAGATTAAGGGGAAGGAAGCACACGCTAGAGAGTGTAATGGGTATAAGTTGTGGTATGTCGTCATAAAGAATGCCAGAAATGGTGTGGGGGTCTTCTTAACGACACAACTCAAGGAAAACATAATAGAAGTTAAAAGATGTAGTATTAAGATCATGGCGATCAAGGTGGTAGCAGGGGAAGAAGTGGTGAATGTTGTTTGTGTATACACATGTCAGGTTGGAAGAATAGAAAACGAGGAGCTTTTGGGATCGTTAGATGATATGATATTGGCTTGTGAGATGCAAGCCTAGAGAATGTGAGAAATGGTGTGAGAGTTTTCTTACTAAAACAACAGAAAGACAACGTAGTAGAAGTTAAATAATGTAATAAGATTATGGCAATCAAGGTGGTAGAAGGGAAGATGTTGTGAATGTCGTTTATGCATACATACGTGTCGGTTTGGAAGAGTAAAAAAACATGAGCTTTTGGGATCGTTAGATAATATGGTATAGCTTCTCTATGCAAGCCTAGAGAATGCAGGAAATGGTGTGGGAGTCTTCTTACTGACACAGACACAGCTGAAAGACAACGCAGTAGAAGTTAAAAGATGTAATAAGATCATGGCAATCAAGGTGGTAGTATGGAAAGATGTGGTGACTGTTGTTTATGCATACACACATGTCAAGTTGGAAGAATCGAAAAAGACGACCTTTTGGGATCGTTACATGATATGGTATAGCTTGTGGTATGCAAGCCTAGAGAATGTGAGAAATGGTGTGGTTGTCTTCGTACTAACGCAGCTCAAAGACGATTTAGTCGAAGTTAAAAAAGATGTAGTAATAAGATCATGGCGATTAAAGTGATTGCAAGGGAAGAGGTGGTGAATACACACATGTCAGGTTGGAAGAATCGAAAAAGATGAGTTTCTAGGATCGTTAGACGCATATCGGAGGACCAACGAATAGTTTTAGAGGAGATTCTGATAAGCCTCCTGTGAAGTTTACTTTCATATGGAGAGGAGAGAGTCAACAGCAGTTGACTAAGAAAAGTTAAAGCAGGTTACTTGAGTCGGTTCATAACTAACTCAGTCCCTATGTGAAGTTTAATATGAGGTTGTTAGGAAGTTGTAGTTGTGTTTGACATCATGAGAATTAGAACTTTGTATATAAGGATGGATAGCATGTCATTTAGGGTATCTCTAAGTTGAAGTATTGGGATTAACCGGCAATGCTCAAGCTGCTAAGGTGATTTTCATGTGGATTTTTTTTTTGGGGATACATGCTATATGTAATACTTGTTTCTTACTTAGACTAGTACATGCCGTGTGTTCACCATGTTACTAGAATGGATGGATTGTGATTTATCACTAAATGAAGTCAACAATATAGTATTTATCACTAAAGAATGAGATCTCTTACTTATGTATTGATGGAAAAAAAATGCTACGCAAAGGAATGTGATAAATGTATTGGTTATTGAATTGCTTTATGGAAATAAGCATATATGATTTTATAAGAACGTTCAAATGAGATTGTCATATATCTTTTTTCCTTTTTAAACAAAATGCACATTATTCACATGTTTTACTTCTATAGAAAAAAATTGTGGGTCTCTAAGTATGGGTAGCAAGTATGCACCAAACCAAGCTTTCAAATCAACCACGTTACGACAATTGTGACCACTAAGTAGATCACACTAGCATATCTCATGATCACATGTGCTTTGTGGTAACCTTTAATAAGTCTTCTGCTGCTACTTTATAACTTATAAGTATTAAGCATGATTTGTAGTGGTGGTGGTGGCTGTTAAAATAATTATATATTAAAGAAATAAAAGAACCACAACTTGATTATAGCAGTACCTCTATAAGATCCTGCCGCCTGATGGCAAGGTACTTTGCCTTCCCACATTTGGAAAAATGACTCAAGATCACAGATGCTTCTTTTGGCCCTTCACAAATCACTTGGAATCTTGCCATTGTGATGATGCACGAAGAAGTCCAGTGACAGTCACATAAAAGTTTGACAACTTCAAAAGATTTCTCCTATATTTCGATAAAGAAGTTGGGTAATTTTTTCTTTACAAATAAAGATGATAAGAGTTCATCACAAAACATGTTACACCAGTCTTTGGATACTTATAATTTACCTCTAAGAGCGAAGAAACGATGAACTCGTCTTCTGAAGGAATTGCTGATTTAGATAAAGGGAGCAAATGTCTTACTTTATGGAATAACTTGGTGAGTTGGCCACCTTTTGGATCGATAAGATCGTTGCTACATGAAAGGTCGCCGGCATTATACATTTCGAGCTGGGTGAGGATGCAAAACTTTGGTAAGGATGAATACTAAGGTACAACAGACGCGGAAAATAGTAAATACCAACGCCAGTAGAAAGAAGCTAACCAATACATCGTCAATGCATAAAGGGGTCAAGCCTCCCTGGTTAAACCAGACATTTTTAACCTGCAAAAAAAAAAAAAAAAAAAAAAAAAACATCGATTAATCAGGGTTTCCCCAAAAACCCTAGGTTAAAAATGAGAAACAGGAATCGCACCACTGACCACTGAAGGACGAATGATGAAGATGCGAAGCCGTCGAGCAATCTTGATTACCAAATCCCTCCAGAAGTGGTACCTTGGCTCCCAATCAGACCTCTGACCGCTGAAAGCCTTGAATCTCGCACTGATCATCACCTCCGAATCCCAATCGTGCACTTCCTTTCGTATCACTTCTCTTACCAGTTCCATTCTTCTTTCACCACGACAACTTCGCGTCCTATTAGAACTTTCCATTCTTCTGCCACTATTGGCGTCCTATGAACATTTTAGAGAATGGAGAGAACATAGGGGTGTTTGGGATTCTTAAAAAGTCATTTTTTTTGAGGACTTTTTTTGTTTTTTTTTATTATTTTTTTTAAAGTAGGTTTTAAAATGCATTTGGATTATTTTTTGAAGGGACAAAATGCTAAAAAGTTAAAACTCACAAATTATGACTTTTAAAACCATAACTTTTTTTCTTACCAAAAAATCATTTTAAAAAGACTTTTATAATTGTCAAACAACTTTTCAAACTTTTAGCTTTTTGAAAAAAAACCAAAAATCCAAAAAGTCATTTTAAAAGATATCTCAAACACCCTCACAGACCATAGAAAATGTTTGTTCATTGCAATTTTCAAATAAAATCTTAATGTTTTTTGGTAAGATTACGATTTAAATTTTTATTTTTATTTTTTAATAAAAAAAGTTATTTTATATTTTGTCATAATTAACAAAATAATCATTATTTTTTTCAACATAAAATAATATATTATTGTATAAAATTAGATATCATGGTTTTTCTGTTAAAAAATAAATATTATTATTAAATCGTAAACTAAACTAAAATATTTTAAGAATTTTTTTGATAAAGTTCTTTTTTTAAACATAAAGTCCTATTATTTTAGGAAAATCATATAATTAATCATTTCTTATTAAAATATAAAAATTAATTTTTTTGTTAATTTGGAAAAATGTTAAATAATCAAAATATTCTATTAAATAAAACCTTTTTAGGACTTTATCAAAAAATTTCTCAAAATAATAGGATTTTTCTACATAAAACCCCTTTTTAAAGTTGATAGTCTTCTTATATCATACACAACACTTTTTTTTATATATACAAATGTATGTCTTATGGATACAATTTTTTTCTATATAAACAATTTGTGTTTTATAGATGGTATGGAGAAAAACTGTTAATGTATGAATCAGCTCTCTTTATATATGGAAAGTATGGTATAAGGAAAGCTCCCTTATACCATTTCTGTTTTTTTCCTTTTAGTTTGTAAAAGGACATTTTATACCCTTTATTTTTCAAAATTATGTTTTTACCCCCTTTTAACTTTTAAAAACTTTCTAAGTTGTCACTTTCATCCTTTTTTATTTTCTAAATTTTCGTTTGTTTTCCCCCGTAGTATATATAATTTGGTTTTTTATAGTTATCACCCATCAACTTTAAAAAAATTATGACATCCCATTTTTTTACGATGAGAAAAAACATTTTTATTTATGCTTATTTTAAAACAGACTTTATTTATAATGCATAATTTATCCCATAAAAAATATTTGCAAAGAAATGTTTTTCATTGATTATTGAAAACTTTGGGATACAAAAAACATAAACATAAATATAATCATTACTGACCTTACAATAACTAATAGCCTACATTTCTCTTAATCTCTCATCAAATCCAAACATCAAATATCTTTGTATCGATATATATGATACAAAGAAACTGAGTGGGTCAGGTTGGGAAACATGATGAGTATATAGAGTTTTCAACCCACAATAATATAGTTAATATGTTCGATTATCAAACAGTTAACCCGATTATTCATCCTCATTTTCTTCTATATTCATTTCTATAGAACTAATCCCAAAGATCATCACCAACATCACATTTTCTTATATTTTAATTGCTAAGGAGCTCTCCTAAGGATCATCGCCTAACATCGCATAGACATACGACTTTGCAATACATGTATGTAAGGGGTATAGTACAACGCATGAACATATAGTTCATCCCTTATAGGTTATAAGTCTGCTAGTGTTTCACTGGACCGTTAGAGTGGCATGTGGTCGTCATCTATACTTTGTTAGATGACTACATCGCAACATCACAAGTAAAGTCATGGCCTCTCCTAATCATTTTTTATCTCTCATCATCCATCACTACCCGATATATATATATATATATATATATATATATATATATATATATATATATATATATATATATATATATATATATATATTAGTACTAAAATACTTATATAATTAAATCGAGTAAAATCATGTCATATAGGTTCATCTAACACATATTGTAGATAATAGGCACATATATCATTTAATTATCTAAACACTTCATATCTATGTGTAAGATGAAAGTAACTATGCACTCACCTGTTAAAGTGGATGACTAGAAGGTTGGGCAGTGCTTCGCTTTAGCGCTTGGCTTTTCTTTTGATGTGATCTAGGTTCATATTACTAAGTCTTAGCCTTATATTCTTTGGTGACTAATGATAGTCTAGATTCCCAATGTCTACATCAAGATCTATCAAGTAAGGAATAACCTGGTAGGATCATATTGGAGGTAGGGTCCATTTGGTATACAAAGTATACTATTTGTAAATCCCACTCTAAACACCTCATTAAATCCAGCCTAAACATCATTCTCGTAAGTAGATCAATAAGTATAATGACTTAGAATCACTGATAAGTCTTATTTTGCAACAACCGGTTATTTCAGGTCAATAAAAGTCAACAAGTCAAACCAAAGTCAAATGAGTCAAACAAAAGTCAATAGTTAAAAATTAAATCAAATAAATAAGACTTAATGCATGAAAAATCACATTGCTTTTGAGGATTTCGGTTTTAGGAAACAAAAAAATATCACCAAGACCGAGAACCCTCTTGACCGAGAACTCCCTTGACCGAGAACTCCTTGGACCGAAGACACCTAGATCGAAGACTTGGTTCTCGGTTGGACTTTTGGACCGAAATCAAGGTGAATTCAGTGAAGATAGGCCGAAATCACCAAACCTTATCGGTGGCACTTTTTCCTAGGTGATAAAATACACTTACCAATGCATATATCACATCACAATTACCCCATATATATATATATATATATATATATATATATATATATATATATATATATATATATATATATATATATATATATATGACCGAAAACCCTTCCATAATTTCCATTTCAATCTTCAAAATCCTTATACTTTTCTCTCAAAACTCATACGTGCATCTCCCAATCTTCAAACTTTCTTCAAGAATATCTTCAAATCTTCAACATTTACCCAGAAACACATTCAAACTTTTCCCTAGGAAATCAATTACTCAAAGCTAATTCCTAGAATTATTGTAAGTATTCCTTACATAACCTAGTGTTATACAACACTTTAAATATTAGTTCATCTAATTTACGCATTTTATTATATGATTAAATAGTATTAGGATATGACTATTTTCGTGTGTTCTAACTTGAAGAACATTCCTATCATTTCGTTATCCAGCCAAGAACACACCCGAGGTGAGTTCATACCCCTACAGTTTTCACTATTTTTCTATGTTTTAGGGGGGGAATACAAGTAAAACACAAGAAAAATTGTGTTATTATACAAACCGTTATATTTGTTGTTTTCATAATATATATATATATATATATATATATATATATATATATATATATGGTACAAATTTGATTATAATGATAAACTATATAAATATAGTTTATAAAACTATAACCCTTTTGTAACCTATTGAGCAAAAGGGTATAATTATATAAAACTAAATATCTAATTATTTCCATCCATTTTATTATCATAGTAAAAATGATAATGTATATACAAAGGATTCATCATTTCAGTGAAACATTTTTATAAACTATAATATGTATAGTTTATGAGACATACACACTGTTTTATCATTTCAAGATACAATACAAAAATAATTATTTAAAGGCATAATTATTTTATACCATGTAAACACTATAAGAGGATGATACATACATTTACAAGAAAAATGACTTTTCATTATACTACACGTAAACCGTGAATGTGGCTTTGTGAGACATTCCTTCACCATACTCACCACAGTACATACTAAAGTCCCTGCATTATAACCAGAGTCTCCTGGAGGGAGAGCGTGACACTTGTGTATAGATCTATACGGGACTGACAATCCCGCACCTAAAATGTTAGCTACAATTGGACCGGCAGGTCTAGGGTGACAAATGTCGTACCATTCCGACGTCTGAAGAACGTCGTAGCAGGCCAGCAGGTCATTAACATGGTTATAATAACTCACAAGGGGTATTAACAAACATTTGGTTTATGGGGCTAGTATACATTCAAATGATTTTATTTAGATAAAATTACATTACTCTATTTTCAGTACAATACAGTTTACATTTATGGAAACATGCGTATAAATAGTTTTATAAAGATATAAGACTACGTTATACTACTTCAGAGTAGAACAATATTTATACATTTTCAGTCTTAGGGTGTTTAAGACTACAATTCATTTCTAAATAAAATATTGGATTTTCTGGAAGAACACACTATCATTTTTCAAGGAACAATGGCATACCTTTCTCATACAAAATGCTTATGAACTCACCAACTTAAATGTTCACACGTTTTCAAAACCACTTGTATTCTCAGGAAATCAGTAGACAGGTACCCACACAGGTTTTGTGAAGATGGAGCATTGCAGTGTCATGTCATATATTTTGTTGTATATTTTTGGAGTCGAACAAACAATGATACAAACTCAATGTAAATATTAAATTATCAATATGATGGTTGTAATGATTTGATCTCTATTATTCAATTGTTATGATAATGTACATGACGTCATCCGCCCCCAGACGTTTTCGTCGTTTTTACTTAGTTTGGGGGTGTGACAGATTAGTATCAGAGCATTGTTTATAGTGAACTAAGTATATCAAACCATGTAAAATATACAACTATAAATACAATGGGACGAAAACATTCTGGCTAAAAAGTATACTTTTAAAATATAAGTATTTTTATAAAAGTATACATACATGCATACATACTAAGAACAATGTCGTAATAAGAACCATATAAAAGTATTTAGATAAGTTGGACGCTGCGGTTAAGCTTAGATAGTTATGTAATCATATTTGGGATATATATAGCCTAATCAACTATATTTATGCGAGATATGACTAACATGTGTTTGGGAATTATCATGGTGAACAACGAGTCTAAAACTTACCAACCCTATATACCAAGAAACATTAAGAATCAAA